AGACCGTCCTGATGAAGAGTAAATAAAGAATAATCCGAAAGTTACTGTTGAAAACCATACTGCTTAAGAGCAGTACTAAGCTTGGCGAACCAACACCGATGAGCTTGTTTCAAGCCATAGAGAGAACGCCTGAGTTTGCAGACATCACCAGAGCGCGGAGAGGAAAAACCGGGAGGAAGTTTCATGTAGACCTCCTCGTTTAGATCACCGTGCAAGAAGGCATTGTGAACATCCATCTGATGAACTTCCTAGCGTCGTGCTGCTGCAACGGCCAAAAACGTTCGAACAGTGACCATCTTAGCAACTGGAGCAAAGGTCTCCTGATAGTCAATCCCTTCAACTTGTCGGTTACCAAGAACTACCAATCGAGCCTTGTACCGCTCGACTGTTCCATCAGAGTTATACTTGATGCGGAAGATCCATTTGCACCCAATAGCATGTTTGCCCTCAGGAAGGGACACGACATCCCAAGTATGATTGTCTTCCAATGCTTTGATCTCAAGCTGCATGGCAGAACGCCAACGACTATCCCGAACTGCCTCTGAGTAAGATCGAGGTTCGGTAGAGGAAGCTATAGCTGCCAAGAATGTCTTATGCCCCAGCGAGAAGGAATCACAAGAAACATAATGAGCAATAGGGTACAAAGTACCCGAGGATGATGACGAAATCGAGGAGTCAGCAGGGGGAATCGAGGGACAAATAGTATGAGAAACGTAATCAGTGAGCCGAGAAGAGCGATGCTTGGTACTCCCCCTGCCCTCATCACTAGCAGAATTTCCAGAATTAGACGGGGCAAGTCCACTTGACACAGCCGAACCCCCCCTATCCTCCTCACTACCAGAATTCCCAGAATTAGACGGGGCAGGTCTTCTTGACACAACCGGGGTCGCATCATCATCGTCCGTCACAACAGGCCAAGTGTCAATATGAACCGAAGATGTCGAAGGAGAAGATGACTCCATATAAGGAAACTCAGATTCACAAAACTCCACGTCACGAGAGACGAAGAAAGACTTCACCTCCAAGTCAAAAACACACCATCCTTTCTGACCAGCCGGGTAACCAACGAAAATACATTTTCGACTCCGACTCGCAAACTTGTCTCCATGACGATTTTGATTATGAACGTAGCACAAACATCCAAAGACACGAATATGAGCATAGGGCGGAGGCCGATTATATAAGATTTCATAAGGAGTCTTATCAGACAGAACAGGAGTTGGAGTACGATTTATCAAATAGCCTGCAGTAAGCACATAGTGACCCCAGAACTCAAGGGGAAGCTGAGCTTGAAAACGCAGGGCCCGAGCAACATTAAGGATATGTTGATGCTTACGTTCAACTCGCCCATTTTGCTGAGGGGATCCGACGCATGAGGTCTCGTGTATAATGCCTTTGGTATGAAAATAATCCCGAAGACAAGTGAATTCAGTACCATTGTCACTACGGAATACCTTAACTAAGGCACCGAATTGTCTTTTCACCAAAGCAAAGAAAGCGAACAAAGTATTAGAAACTGCAGTTTTATCATGCAATAAATAAATCCATGTGGCACGAGAAAAATCATCGACGATAGTCAAAAAATACCGTGCTCCATTAAAGGTGGGAACGCGATATGGACCCCACAAGTCACAATGTATCAAATCAAAACAAGCACTGCTAATACTACGACTAACAAGAAAGCTAGCCCGAGAGTGCTTAGCTCGAAAACATATATCACAGGCCTTATTGGAAACTGAAGCACTAGAGTTAACAAAAGGAAACTGAACTAAAACCGAGGACGAAGGATGACCCATTCGTCGATGCCACAAATCCGGGGACATTGTCTTTACTCGAGTAGCCGCCGCAGTGACTGCCCCTCGGAAGAAGTAAAGTCCCCCCAACTGCTCACCCGCTCCAATCACCATCTTCGAAGTTAGGTCCTGAATCACGCAAAATTTATGAGAAAAAATAGCAATACACCCAGAATGCTCCAATAGCCGAGATAGAGAAATCAGGCTACACCGAAGGCTAGGAACATAAAGCACATCATAAAGAGTAATAAAAGAACCAAGAGTGACAGTCCTGGCCTGGCGAGCAGTAGTAAGTGTGCCATTAGGCAACTGAACCGAGCGTGGCAGAATATCATGAATATCAGTGAAAGAATCCCGATAACCCGTCATGTGATGTGTAGCACCACAATCATACATCCAATCAATAAAACTACTCTTACCAGAAAGCGGAGTATTAGTGCGAGCAGAATTGACAAGGTTGAGGAGGGACTCCCATTGAGCATTAGACAATCCAGAAATTGCAGCCCGCTCGGTTTCGTTCAACACAGAAACACTAGAAAGATTTGAAGAGCCAATATCAGCCGCCGCATTTGCCTTCGCGTGGGAGCCACGGCCGTTCCGTCCACGACCGCCTCGGCCACCACGGCCACCTCGACCACCACGAGACGAACCCCACCACTCGGGATAGCCATGTGTCTCAAAACAATTTGCCGCAATGTGACCCTTTTTCCCGCAACCAAAGCATGTGAGATTCGCCACCGATCGAACCCCAGCTGTCCCGGCTTGCTCGGTCGAGGTGACTGCAGCTGCACCCGCCATCTGCGATCCGCCTGCCGCCCATAAAGAACCAGTCAGGCGGCCTGCTGCTTGCGGAAATGGTCCCTGTATGCCGGCAGGTCCACCCGCTGTGTTGCTACCCAGAATGCCGAGGCCGGCGGTGTTCGCAGCGGCCGGAGAGGAGAAAACCGCCGCACTGTTCGATGGAGCCGCGCCCAACAGGCCCGACCCATTGATGGAGAAACCGGCTGCGATGACTTGGGGCTGTTCAGTGCTCGCCGTGCGCATCCGCTCCTCGCGAACCAACATGGAAAAAACTCGATTGAGATTGGGGATGGGATCGAGTGCTAAAATATAAGAACGAGTAGTACCATACAAGTGTCCATCAAGACCCATCAAAAACTGATGAACCTTTTCTTCATCCCGTTTTTTATCCCACAAGGTCTGTAGAGCACATTCACACTTTCCACAATGGCATAGAAAAGGTTTATCATAATCCGATAGTTCTTCCCAAATTTTCACCAAACGACCATAATAATTTTCAACAGTACTACCTTGTTGTTTGCACGTAGATAGAGCAATCTTTAATTCTTGAATTCGAGGGCCATTCACGGTAGTATATCGTTCCTTAAGTCCCAACCATAGATCTTGGGCAGAATCGGGTGTAGTGATAGAAGAGCGTACCTGTGGATCAATACTATTCATGATCCAAGAAAGAAGAAGAGAATTGTTAGCCAGCCAGTCTTCAAGAAGGTCATCGTCGGAGTCAGGACGAGGGATGGATCCGTCAAGGAATCCAAATTTCTTCCGTGCAAGCAGCGCATTTCGAAAGCTTCGACACCATTCATCATAATTTGTATCACCCTTCAATTGAACATGGGTGATGAGAAGACCCGGGTTATCCGAAGAGGAAAGATCGTATGGAGAGATGGTCTTTCGAGCCACGGTACTTCCACTGGAGTCTGCCATTGAAGAGCCGCCGAGAAAAGAAGAGCCGCCGAGAAAAGAGTCGCCGAGAGGAGAAAAAAAAATCTGAAGAGAAGAAGAGCCGCCGAGAAAAGAAAAAAAATATGTTGGAAAAAAAATTTAAGAACCCGCTCTTGATACCATGTCAAGACCGTGAAATATTTGGAAGATATGGAAAGATGGGACACCCCACTGTGGTGTCCTCATATTATTATCTCATATATATACAAAAAAGACCTAGGGTAATTACAAGAAATTACTTGCCAAGCAAGATACCTAAAACTAGGAAAATATACTATCAAAAATACAATCCTAAATATACCAAATATACCAATATACTAACAATCTCCTACATCCTCTCACTTGGCCGGAAGTGCGAGAAGAACGTCGTCCCTAACCTCACCGGAGAAAAAGACACCGACACTCGTCTCTAATTGGCTCCACCGTTTTCTTCCCCAATTCCGCTTCAAGCAGCCACGCAGTAGAGGCTGTGGATCTTTTACAGAGTGGAGATATTTGATAGTTCTCGTGCATTGATCGTGTTGGCTTGTTGACGGTAACTAGTTCACCCAAGAATTTTACACGTTGTTTTGAATTTTCCATATTCCTAGTGTGTGGCATTGCTCTGTGTACTTTGTTTGTCCTGTGTAATACTTCTTGATAGTGTTCTTCGAGAAAATGATTTTTCTTGAGATTATGTGATGGTAAGCAATCGAACTATTAGGATATATGAGCCAAGAAAAAAACTCTCGTAGAGCTCTAAGGAAAAGGGAAAAAAATGTTTTCTTATACAAAGTGCATTCAACATCAAAAAAGTCATCTAGAATCATAAACTGCAGTCTGAGCATATTAGTATAATAATACGAGAATTCATATAAATCAAAAGGAGCACTACAACTAGTGCAAGAGAATAAGTCTAGAAGAACTTGAAATACACAAAGAAAACACATCGAAAGGCCAACCAAAGAGGAAGGACAAAAGCTACAGTTTATGGGACCTATTGAGAAGGATAATAAGAAACTTTGAAAATAACACCTCCCAAATGAGAGGAATGATACCTGCAAAAAAAAGGG